TTTCGGTTCTTTTTGCAGGGTGACAGCGGAGGTCCACTTTTCCAATATAACGACAAATTACAACTCACAGCAGTTGGCGTAGTTTCGGGCGGAGTGGCGGAATGCACAGAAGAAGATTTTGGTGCACCATTTTTTTTTTCAAAATTTTTCACCCACATTAGAAAACCTCATTTTAACAGTTAAGGGGAAGCCACATAAAAAAAGATGCTTATGTACCGAGAATGGCAAACCCACCCATTTCGAATTTCAAACAATTTCCAAGCAGCAAAAAGCATAACAATAATATCAGTTATTTTCATACGGCCCTTTACTTTGATTTCGCCTATTAATGAAGAACTGGCTGTCACGTAGGTTTGCCATTCCCCGCCTTTTATCCTTTGTAAGTGATGTGAACAAGTTAGCGGTGTAGACCCCATCGGCCTGAAGAATCTCGCCAAAGGCATGCGCAAGAAAGTCGTCGAAAAGTCAGAACAGACTTTCCTTCATTTCAACTTCAGTCAAACTCGAAATCTAGTTGTCAATAAAACGGGCGAGCGAGTAACACTTTAAAGATCAAATTTTTCGGAAATTTTAATGAAGAACCTTGTCGTCAATCGGTTGCTCCTAGATAACTATTATTTCGGCCTGAAATGCATTATTTCCTGTCCATCCCTTCCAGCGTAGGATATATGCTAATTGTTTTCTTCCTCTTTGTTAATCCTATTCATATGTTATGTTAAACCATAATGGAGCGGGACCGTGACAAATCTTTCAGCACATAAGGTGATACAAATCAATACAATCACAGATCTAGTGAAAGAAAATAGAAAGAGACAAGCCAACGGTTCTCCAGTCTAAAATGATGAATTAACCTCATAAAAAACATTAAAGACAAAGAAAACATCGCGGAATTCACACGATCTCCAGGGCAGGATCGAAGGTACGTAACCCAACGCAATGCTCTGCCCATCAAATTTAGGGTATTTATGTCAATTGGCACAGCAGACTACTCGTCTAAGTACAGTCGAGTAGATTTGTCGCTCGCTGTGCACACGCACACTGCCCCCCACTCAACCTGAAGAATTACAGCAACTTAGTGGCATGGACTTAGTTGGACTGAAGTACTTTCCTTATATTATCTTCACCTTCGCTCCTTCGCTAGGGAATTCTAGAAAAACCCAAGTATAGTTTACACTTTCGTTCAGTCAAACGAAAATAGTCATAAGTTACACTGAGATTGGAAATAGTTTAAACTTTGTTTTAATGATTTCATATACGATTAACGGAGCCGAAAATGCAAACAAACTGCTCTAAAAACTCCTATCACGGATGGGCGACCAAGTTAGCGCAACATTCTCCCGAGATGCGTGCGCGGGGTGTGCAATGGCACATGCGAGTGACAGAATCAACTCGTCCATCGAATCCGCCTAGCGGATCTTTAAAAGCCGACAATAATTCATTTTTGCCCGATACAAAACTGCATCGCCACTGCATGCTCTCTAGTTTAAAAAGAATGGATGCTCGTTAGGAAAAAGTCTGATCTAGAGGACCACAATGCTTAGAAAGTCAATTCAATTTTCTATTGATGAATTTTATGCAGATGGGGAGAACTTCTTTGCGGATGTACGCAAGCATTTAAACTGGATTTGCTTACACACAGGTCTGCATTGGTTTAATAAATTAGTGAGAAGCTAATTGATTCTATTCTTCTAGGCATATGTCCATTGGAGAATACACAGGCTGATGGCAAACAGGGCTTAAGGTCAAGATATAGGAATACCAATCGAAATCCTGGAACAAATTGGGTATGGGATGGGATCGGCAACCAAAGAATGTGGTCGATCAAAGGAATGAACAAACGAATGCACGCGATGCATGGGGTGAATAATAAGCAGATATGGCTAGGCAGCGTGAAAGCTAACGCGAATGAAACGGTGATGAGAAGGAGCAACAAGCTACTGTGGTCAACTGACAGAAACATCAATATGAACCGCAGAAATGCGATGTACGCAATGGAGCGTCAACGAACCTGGCCAAACAGCAGAAACGGGGCAGCAACTCTGATGTACACAATGAGGAATCAGCAGATGTCGCGAGACAACAGTAACATCAACGTGAACGAAGCGAATGTGATGGGGATGGGCACGAGGCAACAATGGCCATATAACACGAACACGCATGATCCAGGAATAGATGCGGTGTACCATGAATATACGACGATTCCTGGATTGAGGAAACAACAAAAGTGGTCAAGTAAGAATTCTGATATCAAATCAGGAACAAATGTGATGTACGAATTGAATCAACAAATGTGGCCTACTAAAGGAGGGATAAGCACCAATCGCGGCACAAACATGGAGCGTTTAGCATGGTAACTGTTATAACATCGCTGCTACGTACCAGCATTATTAAAGTCAAATTAGAATAACCTAATGAATGCCATTTGTGTATAGAACAATTATCCTACATAACATATTATTTTTACAAAATGTGTTATTACTAATCACATAGGAGTCATGGCACCGGATGAAGAGGAACATTTTCATGTCAGTCAAATTACAAGATTCCCTGGTACCTA